TGATTATTTCTTCTAGCTGTCATGTCACTGATATGTTTACATTGAATGTTGTTTACAAATACCGTAACCAATTCCGATCACGTTTTGAAAGCAAATCCAAACCAAGTAATATTAAAAACGTTTTTCCTTACATAACGGATTTAATTAATCGCAAGTGCAATAATTTGTAGGGTAACCGTAAAGAAAATATAGATTCTTCGTGTATAAAATTGTTCTTGAGTTTTGATAACTGGGGAAATGACCTTGAATCAGTGTTGTATATGGCTGGGAAACATTCATTTTTTAAATGAGCGTTTTCAGTCGAGACTCGGCACACGACCGACGCGCGTCTACATGTCCATAGTAAAAATAAAAGTAGGCCTACCGTGTATTTATGTTTTATTCGTCATGTGTATAAGTGTACAGTTCGTGTATGTGTTTCAAAAACTCCAAGACGCACCTTATGGGGAAGCTCGATACCTTATATTAGGACTGGGGACTGTTTCATAGCAAACTACAAACTTGTATTATTAGTTAATCAGCTGATTGCCCAATATGTTTAAAAATAAAGTCCAATGGAAATTACAGATTACAAGTTAAAGCTTGTAACTTGTAGTTTATTATGAAACAGGCCCCCTGATGATGGCGATTTAATTTCGCCGAAATGCATCTCCTGTAATAGGATACATTAGGATCGACCGGCGGACACAGGTAATTTAACCTTTTATTGATTGTCATACCGATCCGGAACAAAAACAAAGAACATAAAATGAAGTTATGTAGGCCTATAATAGTTTGGCCAGCATATCTGAAAATATGCAAACCAATTGCTGTTCTTTAAATACTGTATATAAGAAGGTTTCAACTGAATACTAAAAGATCCCCGTGCGTAGAACGGGTACACAGCTAGTTACTTTATAAATATGTATTTCACCAGTTAAAATTACATTATACTATACGTTTTGGTCTACGAACCTTCAGTGAAAACCCATCTTTTATTTGAAATATTGATTAATAGATCGGAGGTACCTGAAAAACGCTACTGTATAACGAATCAACAATAATTATAATTACAGCGTATTAAGATTTATCTGCAATCAATGATACGTTACTCCATTTTCATTTCAGTTTTAGCGAATTTCCCATATAGGGAATAAGCTATTACCGTAAGTCTCATGGTAAGACCTAGACCCGGGACCGATTTACTTTTTCGTTTTGAGGTCCCCAGAGACCAAAAACACCATCCGTTCAAATTCATTTATATATATATATATATATTTATATATATATATTTATATATATATATTTATATATATATATATATTTATATATATTTATATATTTATATATGTGTCCGTTAGCGCGATAACTTGAGCAAAAATGATCCGATTTCAATGAAATTTGGTACAAACGTGTAAACCTACTTTTATTCGAACGAGTTCGCGAACCAGCATAATCGCACCATGGGAACAGTGGTTTATTGGGGGTTTTATGGGGTAAAAATGGGTTTTTCCCATTTTTTACCCTAAAAACAAAAAATTTTGCAATTTCTTTCCTAATCATTTTGTAGAGCTTAAAAAAAAGAAATAATTTAGTATATTGAAGCGCTGTTGTATGCCTAACGGTCACAGGGAAAATTTTAAAAAAAGTGTAATTTAACATTCCCATGTTATTCTTATGGAGAAAATGAAAACTGTTGTAGTTTACTTGTTTATGGATATATATTGATAAAATTTTGCAAATTTATTTATTTCATCCTATACTATTGACATCTGGTCAAAAAAACACTTTTTACCTTCCCCGTAGCAGCAAACCTAAGCACTTGTTAAATCTAATGTCATTTAAATTGGGAATAAATATATCTTATTTATAGAAATATTTTAGTAAAAATGTAATCAGACAAGTTGAAATTCGCTTAGTCTGCAGGTTTGCTGTGGCGAGGGTATTTTTATATGTCTTGATCTTAAAATACTCCTAGAAATAAATGCGCAGTCTTTTAAAATATTGATTGTTTGAATCAATTATGTTCAAGATGCTGTATTAATCAATCAAAAAACATATATTATTGTGAATTTTATTTTGACCCGGACAACGCCGGTTTTTGCTGCTAGTTTGTAGACCATAATATATTTTTTACAACACTATTGTGTTTCATGAGATGTTTGGTACCCATTAAACATATAAGGTTTCTTTGTGAAGGTTAACCTTTTAAGCAGTTGAATGATAAAAACAAACCATGTAGTTTTAAGTATTCTTAAGCATACATAAACGAATCTTAAAAATTGTCCAGTTTAGCCTAAGGGGATCTCACCCTCTCCTAGTTAAAATAACAAAGATTTATAAATGAAAGAGACTGTTTGTTCTTCACTGAAAAAAATAGTGGAATTGTAAATTTGTTATAACGTAGATAAAAAATAATTATAGTACTATGTTTAGTGCTCTTTTGTCATCTTTTTGTGAGGCACGGGTGAAGAAATCAGTTTTATCAAGACTTTCTTTTTACATTTTATAGAGTATTAATAATAAAAATAAGTAGACTCGTATAATCATTGTTTGAGTCATGTTTAAGTATAAGGAAACCATTACACATAATATAACAGAGATTAACAAAGAAGATTCCTGAACTTGATATGTTTGTTTGTGTTTCAGGAGGTATTGTGTATCAAAGCCTTAACTGTTTATCAAAATAATTGCTTGGAAAAGCCAGACGTTGTTTGGGTTTACCAAAACCTAACGAGAAGTGTATTTATTTCTGTGAATTTCACATTTAACGAAAAAATGTGAAATTCACTCAAATAAATACACTATATGGTAATGTAGCTCTCATGGTAATGTTACTTAGTAAGGGAAGAGCCGTTCTATGGTTTGTAAGAAGTAAAAAAACTGGGTTTTCTACTTCATTCACTGTTACGATGACTAACCGGCTGTGAAACGATTTTAAATTTATTTATTTTAGTGTATTGCTTGTTATTTGGAATTATAGTGAGATAATAATGTACAAATCAAACAATCTTTCCCTAAAATAGAGATATTTTAAGTAGTAGACATTAGCACCCTCTAACGTGACCAACATTATCCAAATATCGCGACATCCTTCACATTTCTCAATAATACATCCAATGCACTATTAGAAAATTAAATAAAAGTTATACAGAGCAGGAGTAGAAAGGTCCATTGTTGGTTTTGCCATGCTTACTATGCCCTACTATCCATGCTGACATTTATATAATTATTGTTTTTCAGTAACTGTATAAAACTGTTTTAAATTTGCTATTCAATGAAATGATTCCCATGTTTCTATGTTGCTTGGTTATTTGTTTATATAATCTTAAAATGTGTCCAATAATTTACGACCATCCTGTATATCTTACTAACCACTATTCTTGTGCAATATATTTTAAAAATCTTAAACCGTTTAAAAACTGTGGATTAAAAAAAATATTTTATGTTAAATTCCATGAACTTAAATGATAGTTATGGAATTTAAGTTTTAAGTTCATTTAAAGAAATATTTGTAGGTCTTGTAAAAGTTGGTAACTTTAATGCAGATTACATCGATATCTTATAAGCTTAGTTTTGGGCAAAGAATATCTGAGAAATAATAGATTTTTTCTTGTTATCGCTTCAATTTTCTCAAATTTTCTCAGAATTTCACTGCTCTAGCTAAAACAGTTAAGGAGTTATGAATGCTTTTGTAAAAGTCTTATAAGACAGATAGACCAAAAACGAAATGGGATAGGACACATGTTATACTACAGTTTTTGTTTATTTGACATGCTAAATAACGGGACAAAGTTTGTTCATATGGTTGCAAGACACCCTGTATATATTTAGAAGATGGGTCAAGATGCTGCAAGACACCCTGTATATTAACCAAATTAATAGCGTAATTGTGACGTGGACGTTATTAATATTTTTAACTTTTGTCAATGTTAGTTAAAGGTGTAATCTTAAATACAACCATACAACACATTGTCATAGAGGTTACTAAAATTAATGCATCACTCACATTTTAGGATAGTTTAGAAAATTAGTTCATTAATCTAAAATTTGGTGGTCAATTAGAACTCGTAATTTATGTAGCTTAAAAGGCGGGTAGGCACTAACCCAATTAGGCTGGTATGACAATCTTGGCATTGCTTCTTTTGGAATCTTCCCAAAACAAAACAGCGATAATACACAGGTAGTTGTGCCTGGAGCAGGAGTACTGTAATTATGCCTTTTTAATTATAATTACAAATATCCTGCTTCCTTTAACGATTGACTTATCTAATAAAGTTATGCTGTATGGTGTACGACTTGTCCACAATAAGCCTTATTATCATAGCCCGTATCAGTAAACAGAATCTTCCACGTGTCCCAAAACCTTCCACAATTCTGATGATTTCTCTCTCACTGTCTCGTCCCTACAGCTGATCCTATTTCGATAACGTTTTTCATCGCTGAGATGTTTGTATTGTGTTAGAGATAACGATATACACGCTATATACAATCATTCTCATGTGCTATATAGGTACCAGGAATTTAAAACGTTTGGTAAAATATTCTTTTGTAACATGCAGTTCCTAGGATATAACTGTCAATCCTCGTATTATGAATTGAGCATTTTACTCAATATCAAAAATGGTATTCCTCATGATGAGCGATACATCAATTATTAATTGTGGTCATATTAGGTTCGATCTAGTTAAACCTTTGTATCTTCTTAGAAATAATTTTTACCAAAAATATGTCTACGCCTCACATTAGAATTGTGAAACAACCCAATTGTGGACCCTATTAATATTTTTTTGTTATTGGGGTATTATTCTACGACGATTTCAAACAATAAGTAATATCATTGACTAGTCAATGGTAATATAGTAACCCACACCTGCATGTATACACTTACAGGTACATAAAATATCACCTAGTTATGATAGAAAAACATGAATCCATGAACAGTCAGCAGTAAAAAAAACATCACTCTAAAAAGGACAACACTCACGAATTGTTGAAGTAAGGAATGACATAATGAACAATTGTAATATAACTGTATATTCTTTATTGTGAGTAATTTTCTAAAGGATAGCCGGTCTTTTTTTCTGAACTAGTTTTTCATCTTTTTCCACCAAGCTTTTATCCGGTGCAGACACGAACGGATTCCATCTGTGTTCAAGCATAATCTAGCAAGCTGTGACCGAGTTTCCGTCTGTAGTTCTTCATCTGATTTGGCTATAAACATAAATTAATGTTGTACCAGCACCAAAACCCGGCTTTAACCGGGTGCAAATACAATATGTGATAGTAGTTATAGAATCAGATTCGATATTTTTTTCTTAGATGTACACGAGTCTTGGTACTATTAAATCTATAACTATGTTAAATATTCTTTCTCCAAGGTAGGACATTATTATCAAGAATTTTCATATTTTTGTTTTTAAAGTCATAAAACACTCTAGAGCTAGAATAGTGTATCCAAATTTAACTAATTTATGCTTATTCGTATTTTAGGTCATATTCAGCACGATCTCGAACACTCACTATCTTTCCTCAATGAAAATAACCCTGCTGTTAATAAGACATTTTGTTATATATAATATATTGTTTGAAGAGCTACAAACAAAACATCACCTTGTTAACAAATATTGCTTGGTCACCTATGCTTTGTATTAATAACCTCCTAAACAAATGAAACGCCAACTAGTAATTCTCGGTCCGATGATACTACACATTAAAGATGAATGAATAGTATATATTATCAACTTGTAGGCCTAATGAGAATACATTTGAAACATTATTCTATGTTTATATATTTTTATAATTTGGCACTTACTTGGTTTGTCCTTTTTGTCATCTTGGGCTGTCGCAGATGATGGCTCTTCAGGTAATACGGCTGTAACACAATTTTACTTCCTTGAGTGGAACATTTACTAATAAAAAAAAACAGACTCTGATCTGTGTTCGCGACGCGCAATCCTCTCGACTCTGATAGTGAACGTCAAGGAGATCAACGACCACATCTTGAACTCCCTTGACGGTCATCTGTACGAGCTGAGGAGCGCCGACACAGTGGACAGAGAAAACGACGATGGCCTGGATGTCGACGTACAACTCCTGAACACGGCTACTGGCAAGGGCGTACCAGACCATGTTCTGCGGCTGAAGATCGGCTCTGTTTGCCTTATTATGAGGAATCTCAACATCGCTGAAGGACTCGTCAACGGCACTAAAGTCATCGTAATCGGCATCACCAACCGGCTAATTACAGTAAAACTTCCCGGACAGACGCAACCTATCGGTATTCCCCGAATTACGTTTACGTTCGCGTTTGTCGAGGGTTCGCCGTTACGTGTTCGTCGACGTCAGTTCCCACTGATGTTGGCCTATTGCATGACCGGACACAAAAGCCAAGGTCAGACAATAGATTCAGTCGGTGTTGATTTACGGACCGATTGCTTCACGCACGGGCAGTACGTCTTGCTCAGTAGGGTCAGACATCCCGACCATATTGTCGTTCTCGTCCATCCCGAACGTGTCCGAGATGGAATCGCATACGCAAAGAACATCGTGTATGGCGATCTCCTTCTCTAAACCGGACTTGACACCAGCAGTAGGCTAGGGGATCTGCTTCATCAAAACTCCCCGTCGTGACTTGACAACACCGGCAGTTGTACATAGGGGGCCTACCTTACCAAAAGTCCCCGTTGTTGTACATATTTCCTTTTAGTTATTTTTTTTTTGAAATAAGTCGTTTTTTTGTGTGTTTAGTATTCTAGTTTGACAGTACGATAGGGGCCTTATCTTATCAAAAGTCCCCGTTGTTGTATATATTTTTTTCTTTTTTTAGTAGTTAGTTTAGTTTTTTTATATATTTCCTTTAAGTAGTTAGTAAAGTTTACTAACTTGTACATTTGTGAATGATTGTAAATATGGTTCCGACGTTTCCTGGCCTCCTCGTGGCGGAACTGGATATGCCGTAAAGTTTATGGCTAACCGACAGGGAAACAACCACTACTTCATCTATTTTAATAAATATATACATGAATATCTACTATAATATATTTACTTCATATAATACTTTACTACTATCAACTTGTTAACTTATCAATCTACTTATCTTATTCAAAAGTTTACTAACTTGTATATTTTTTAAATAATTGCAAATATGGTTCCGACGTTTCCTGGCGTCCTCGTGGCGGAACTGGATATGCCATAAAGTTTATGGCTAACCGACAGGGAAACAAACATTACTTAATCTATTTTAATAAATATATACATGAATATCTACTATAATATATTTACTTCATATAATACTTTACTACTATCAACTTGTTAACTTATCAATCTACTTATCTTATACAAAAGTTTACTAACTTGTACATTTTTAAATAATTGCAAATAGGGTTCCGACTTTTCCTGGCCTCCGATCTACTACAATCTATTCACTTCATATAATACTTTACTATTATCAACTTATAAACTTATCAATCTCCTCTTATATATTCATGAAATCGTTATTACTTTAATGTCGATTTTCACTATAACGAACCCTACTCTCCTTATATTTGTACTTCGCTCGACTAACAACTCAGTTGTTTAAATACTTAACTAACATACTCTCTTACCCTAACTTTAAAAATTATTTTTTTATGAGGTGTTCCTTAAGGTCGAGCTCGAAGTTAACTTATATAACTTAATATTGACGGTTTCACTTCTTGCTTTGTTACAACTTAACTCTAATCTACTAATGACGACTAACAGCTAGGGGGCCCCCAGCGAGCCAAAGGCGAGTCTATTTTTATAATTTGGCACTTACTTGGTTTGTCCTTTTTATCATCTTGGGCTGTCGCAGATGATGGCTCTTCAGGTAATACGGCTGTAACACAATTTTACTTCCTTGAGTGAAACATTTACTAATGACCTAACTAATAACAACCTCCTAAACAAATGAAACGCCAACTAGCAATTCTCGGTCCGATGGTACTACACATGAAAGAGGAATGAATAGTATGTATTATCAACTTGTAGGCCTAATGAGAATACATTTGAAACATTATTCTATGTTTATCTATTTTTATAATTTGGCACTTACTTGGTTTGTCCTTTTTATCATCTTGGGCTGTCGCAGATGATGGCTCTTCAGGTAATACGGCTGTAACACAATTTTACTTCCTTGAGTGAAACATTTACTAATAAAAGAAATTCCACTGTAGGCTATTTATTAATAAGAATACATTAAGTGCTCCACTTAATATAAATACTATAGAAAATATATAAACAATTTTAAATTATCCATTTTAAAGTAACATTAAGTAGGCCTATTAAAAAAAACTTTCACGATGTTTCGGTGGTTCTTATAACCCTTAAGTGCCTTAAACATTCGTAGGGGTACAGTTTTAAAGAAAACCTGCGATATATTTAGAGATAGGTTAGTTTAGTTAAGTTTATAAAACTCGTGAGAAAGAAGGAAAGTACGAATACAAATGACGACATTGTAAATTTATGCCTATAGAAAATTACACAGTACATGAACTTTAGTTTTCAAATAAAATTAACTTAAAAACTTCAAGCCCGGGATTGTTTTGCACATTACTTTAGGCTAGTCCTAGGAGTTGCGACACTATCGCTTAGATAAAATCCATGGTTGATTTGGCAGGATTTAAAAGTCTCTAACCACTAGACCAGCTCGCTCCCCTATATATTGGTCCTGTATATTTTTGACAAAATATATTTAGCTGCTCACAATTAATACCTCCGAAGTGGGAGCTAGGGCCTTGTGTAGGTAGAGGACTCACAATTGGGCCGATCTGAAAATCAAGCTTTTATTAAAATAAAAACAGTCCACTAAACTAAACCATGCTAAACAAGTATAAAAATATAGTTTATGTACTTACCCGGGGATGGATCTTTGTTTCCATTCGGGTCAACAGAGGCAAGGAATTGCTTCAATGAAGGAAGTGCTGAAATAACAGCTGACAATCCTTCAGGTTGAAGATATTTTTCAAGCTCTTTAAATTCTTTTTCGTAATGCTCCGATAAACCTAATCCTAAGCTTCCAGGAGTAGGGTTTGGTATCCATTGTTCTAAAATTCAAACATATCATTAAACATGATTTTAATGCAACTTCTTTGCAAATTACTATGTCGTTCTATATACTAGCCTACTCTAAACTAACCAAACAACTCAAAACTGTGCTCCGCAATTCCCCACCAATTGGTCTTAACAATAACTACTTATAACTTTTTTGAGAGTTTATGTATGACGAGAAGACTCAATCACTGCTGTGCACACTTAAACCAAACCATCTAGGTGAGGAAGCTGTTAAACTCGTTGGCTTCTGGGTCGACTCCAGGTTAGGTTGGAAACACCACATTAGCCAGGTACGTGTCAAGCTTGCCAGAGTGGGCTATCTCCTAAGGAAACTTGTGTTGGTCAACACTAAACCGTACTTAGTCACCGTGTACCATACCCTTCTTTCAAAGCCATGTAAGCTGTGGCATCGCACTATGGGGCCATACAGCTGCAGCATCTTGCTGCAGCCATCTTGCTTCTTCAGAAGATGGCTTTGCGGGTGATTACGTCCACCGGGCATCGTGACCAATGTAGGCCTATCTTCAAAGACCTAAAGGTTCTGACCATATACAGCCAGTACGTATTAAATAGTACGGTGCTACTTAAAGAAAATTTGGCAAAACTTGCTCGACGCGAGAACCAGCATTCCTATCAAACACGACATGGCCATCTAGGTAGGTCAAGGTACCTAGAAGCCGACTAGCCTGGACTCAAAAGGGCTACCCCTACTACACAAGTAAGTTCTATAACACACTCCCAATTGAAGTGCGCGAGCTGGACATTAGGGCCTTCAAGGACATTAAGATAGCCGCCACCATCTTAGTTAGGTTTTATGTAAATAGTAGTCCTACTAATATTATAAATGAGAAAGTTTGGATGTATGGATGTATGGATGTATGGATGTATGTTTGTGACAAGTGAACGCAAAAAATACTGGTCGGATTGGGCTGAAATTTGGCATGATGATAGCTCACATTCCCGATTAACATATAGGCATATTCTTATTTCAAAAATCCTTTCGGGCTCCGCCCCAGTGGCTCTGGAGTTTCCCATGTTAACCTTATGAGAAATGGAATTATTGAATCTTAACAGCTGTTTCAATTAAACAAGTTGGTTCTGTTCTATGATGTTCAATAGCATTAAAGTTACAAGGATTGCCAACAGGGTGCAGCACTATTATTTATTTTACATTTATGACAACAGCTAATTTGCAACCAAAAGGTGAGTGAGCGTAGCGAACGAACGTCAACCTGGAGGCAAGTTAGCGTAGCGAACGAGCTAACCTGAAGGCAAGTAAGCGCAGCGAACGAGCTCCAACCTAAAGGTGAGTGAGCGTAGCGAACAAACTTCAACCAGGACGTGATTGAGCCATGCGAACGAGATAATCTTGAAAATTAAGAGGTTAAACGGGGCAAAGCCCGCGGGTTACAGCTAGTATTTATTATATGTGACGCCATCCATTCCGACTTTGTCGGTCAACGATGCAGTATGCAAGTATTCAAGTAAGTAAGTATTCAAGTAAGTAAGTATTCAAGTAAGTAAGAATATGTGATAAATTAGATTTTTAAGTCCAGTAACTTTGTGCAAAGTATTGAAGCTCTATTTTACAGATTTCAAAAATATTTAACCGACCCTGGACTTTTTAAACGCCTTTTACAGTATATTCATGTACCCATACATGTATAATCGTTTGAGAGAATTGTGTTTTAATCCTCTAGAAACATCAAAATAAAAAAGAATATCGGTCCCCGGTCTATTGCTTACCCTGCCATCATGGTAATAGCTACTTCCCCAACCCCCAAAGAAAAACAGTAAAAATCCTTTATATAGCCTATTCCATCGTACTAAAGGCGGGAAATTGTACCTCCCACCTACTAAAATTTTGGACAGTCATTTCGCAATCCACTTCTATTGTTATGCTGTTTACAAATTGTAATATTTTTATTTTGGTATTGTTGTTGACTGTAAAACTAATATGAGTATATATTTGAAACGGTTTTAATTACTGAAAATTAGAAAATAATGCATGAAAATAATGCTCAAATACTTGAGTATGTAATACTCAAGTATTTTTATGATACTACATGAGTATCAAAGGTGCGTTCAATTGTTTTCATAAAATTTCATTTATGAACTTGTAGGCCTAATGAGAATACATTTGAAACATTATTCTATGTTAATATATTTTTATAATTTGGCACTTACTTGGTTTGTCCTTTTTGTCATCTTGGGCTGTCGCAGATGATGGCTCTTCAGGTAATACGGCTGTAACACAATTTTACTTCCATGAGTGAAACATTTACTAATAAAAGAAATTCCACCGTCCCCTATTTATTAATGAGAACACATTAAGTGCTCGACTTAATAAATACTATAGAAAATACATAAACAATTTTAAATTATCCAATTTAAAGTAACATTAAGTAGGTCTATTAAAAAAAAACTTTCACAATGTTTCTGTGGTTCTTATAACCCTTAAGTGCCCTAAACATTTGTAGGGGTACAGTTTTCAAGAGAACCTGCGATATATTTAGAGATAGGTTAGTTTAGTTAAGTTTATGAAACTCGTGAGAAAGAAGGAAAGTACGAATACAAATTGACAACTTTGTAAATTTATGCCTATCGAAAATTACACAGTATATGAACTTTAGTTTTCAAATTAAATTAACTTCAAACTTCAAGCCCGGGATTGTTTGCACATTACTTTAGGCTAGACCTAGAGGTTACGGCACTATCACTTAGATAAAATCCATTGTTGATTTGGCAGGATTTAAAACCCGGGACCTCAGGGACCGAAGTCCCGCGCTCTAACCACTATACCAGCTCGCTCCCCTATATATTGGTCCTGTATATTTGTGACAAAATATGTTTAGCTGCTCACAATTAATACCTCCGGAGTGTGAGCTAGGACCTTGTGTAGGTAGAGAACTCACAATTGGACCGATCTGAAAATAAAGCTTTTATTAAAAAAAATACAGTCCACTAAACTAAATCATGCTGAACAAGTATTCAGCCAGTACTAAGATAAAACTTACTGCCAGGATTCTGGCTCCACTCACAACTAAAGTGGCAGCTTCGGGATGTAGGCTGAGACTACAGTATGTATCAAGCCCTTAAATTATTCAAGAAGAAAGAAATTAATAATATTAAATTGTTAATAAGACAAAAGGAGATGCATTACTTATTTTATTTGACCATTATCTTCACTGAATGAAAATATAAACATTGCAGAACAACGAAAGGTGCAAGTTGATTACACTCTTGAATCTTTTAGGATGCATTTTAACAATCATGTTTTTAGTGTTTTCCAATGTGTTAAATGTATGATATCTTGGGTAAGTTTGGCGGAAAAACAACCAAATAGCTTCTAGAATAAACACCCTACGAGTAATCAAAACATCTAAAAATTTCCTCAAGGCAAACAAATAATAGTCTAAAACAAGAATGAGAATCATAAGGAAAATTTCCAAAAAACAAAGAACTTAAAAAATGCCTTATGAATATTATAGTTTTATTCTGCTTATTACTATTCACTTGACTTTAAAGTAAGTTTAAACTATGTAATACTTACTATGTTTACTTAAATATACTTGAACCATAAGTGCATTTAACAGTAAACACATAAGTCACAGAGAATATTATCTAGGTATACTCACCAAAGAGATCAAAACCAAATTTAAAAACACTAGTTTCATGTTACACAAACTGCACGATCCACACTTGCTATGTAGTATCTGCAGAAGTTGGTGATTGCAATGAATTGATTAGTGTAATTATATTCATGATGCCATCAATCATATCAGGTGTTTGACAACAACCGTAAAATATCAATGGTGTACACAGTTTAGCTGTAAACATATCAGTAACCTCTGTAAGTAGCTAACCTAATAGATGTGAAAACTGTACAAAAGTTCACACTAGAACCTTACCTGGAACAATCACATCGATGGTCTTTGTAAGAATCTCAGCACTGGTGTATACGTGTTGAGAAGAATTAATTATGGATTGGTGATATATTATCAGAAAAAAACAGCATACTGTGATTTAATGGGGTCACATATAAAATATGGTCTTGATGTATGGGGCAGACTACTGAAAGCATCCTTAAGAGTCCCGGGAGGCTAGCGGCCATCTTGGATAGTTTCAAACAGCTGCTGAAGAGTTATTTATCGTCCAAAAATAGTTTTTCCAACACAAAAGTGATTATAATTTAAATATCTAGTATAAAGAAATCTTTTTGTAGTTTTGAATTGTTCTCCAAGGGAGTCCATGGAAGCTAACGCCCATTTTGGATTTGTCCACCATAAGGGGTTAATATCTTTAGTTTAAAATAGCTGCTGAAGAGTTATTTACTGTTGAAAAACATTTTTCAAGCACCAGAGTGATTGTAATTTAAATATCTAGTATACTGTGAGATTAGACATTTTCTTTGTAGTTCTTTAATTGATTTATGTGTTAGAACATCTAGGCTACAAGGACTCTTTACAGAAATTGAAGCTGCAGAAAAAAGCCATGCGTAAACTCGCCAACCTCATCCAACCCTAAGCAGCTGCAGGGAAGCTCTCAGATCGCTTGGTATTCTCACTGTTGTAAATCAAAGAAGTAAACATTTTGGTGATTAAGTCTGATCTGCCAAAAAGTACAAATATTCACACTTACCACGAGGCGAGGACACGACTTCATTCTGCCAGTACATCATACCACCAATTATGCCAGAGAACCATCTTACACCGGCCGCCAACTCCACAATAGCCTACCAACATCACTGAAGTCACTGAAGGGAAAGCAGCTAAAAACACAGCTCCACAAGTGGCTGATAGACAGACCTGCTTAATCCTTGAAGGAATTCCTTGATCCCGATCTACATCGGTATCTTGCACGGAATTACATAGCATTTTGTTTAACACTTGCATTAAAATAACAATTATGTTCATAGCCTCCTATTAAACACTGTTTTTGCAATTTCACTGCCCATCCATATACTAAGCCATAAAAATTCATATACTAGTATTAAGTTATACTAGGTGAATCCGTGCGAATTCGCACGAATAATAAATTAGGATATTATAGCAACGTCGATAGAAGTTACGTCGTTGTATTGACGTTGGTCTTCAGCTCCAATCGTTGACTATATGCATTCTAAGTTCTTTTGCTGCTCAGTAGAAGTATTTTGCAGGACGGAACTAATCATGATTAAAAGCTTGCGCGTATGGATTAAAATCAACCAAATGTTGAGTCAAAATGTGCATGAGTTTAGTGCTTCAAGAACCATTAGCTTTGTTTAGCATTCTTCCTTGAACAGTGGTTTTGACGTCCGTGGATATAAATTTGGGAATACGTGGGATGCTCCCTTTCTGACGGTTGAAAGGTACCAAATGAGTGATACATTGTGCACCTTATACATGAAAGGGCCTCCACCGTTATGTTCTTCAATTTTAGCTCGAGTGCTGACCATTGCGAGCGCAGAGTTGTACGATCTAATGATCTCTTTATGTAGTTTCTACTCAAATGATTTGCTCCATTAAGTAGGTTCTGGATATAATTAATATATTTCTTGGTTAGTGGTAGATTTACTTTTCCTTTATGGCAGCAGAATAAAATCCTTCACCTCGTCCTCTTCGTTCTTCTTTAAAATGTAGCGCACCACATTTCTGACATTTTAATGTCATCTCGCCGAGTGAATGCTGCTGAATTCTTGTATTTGTCAGTGTACTTTTGTAAGTACAAGTTGCCACTAACTGTTCCAGCTCCTCGTCTGGGCTCCTTACGTTTTGCATTGCTTGCCCTATGTTGACTCACCGTGTCCGACCGGCAATATTTCTTTGTCGTCGGGTCCTTGACATGTTTCAACGAAAATATAATGTAAAACTTTTCTCCCGTCGTGTCCTATAGGTAACATTTCTTTGCTGGGTTTCTAATTATTTTTCAAAACAAGCAAACTGTTTACATTTCAAAACAGCTGGGATTTAATTTTTGTTTAAACTAATGTATTGACATCTGTTTCAGAATATAATAACATTCAAGCCAATCACAATGTTATCCTTATGGAAGGAACTTTGAGGGCAGCCCACGCCCTTAAAAAGACATATTTCGAAAATCTAAAGCCAGTGTACACATTTACACACCTAGACGAACATTTTGGTATATAATATGTGGGGTTAAATCTTAAAAAAGCCTTATTGTTCACAAATTGTAATTTCTTGGTGAAACTGCAATAAAGAATACTAGTGTACATGTTGCTCGAAATCGAGCAATTTCAAATAAGTACATGAGTTGAGGAGTTACAAATAAACAAATGACTTGTTCAAAAACTAATAACAGTCATAATTTCCCATGATTTTAAAAGAGTCAACTAAAAGATTATTAACTGATAAAAATACTCACAATTTACATAACAGTTCCTATTCCAGTTTAAAGGGTTAATGTTTAACTATCAAACTGTCCATGGACGGGAAAAGGTAAGCTTACAATTTAAGTCAAAGTAAAAAGGCTGTCAGCTTTTATAATGTACCATACCTAACTTATTTAGCCAATTTGTAGGTGTAGGGTGTAGGCTACTTTAAACTCTACAGAACAGAGTTAGGCAAAAACTGGCAGATCTCTGCAATGGAGTTATTTATCATAGGCCTACTCATGTGCCAAATCCTTAAAATAAAAATTCAATAATTAATAACTTATATCATTAAACACAAACCAACATCTATATAAATAAAATTAGAGTTTTGTCTGTACATTGCTTAGAATAATGAACTTTTTGGTTATTTTTACATTTCATAGGTCAGAGAAACCGAATCAAACCTTATCTCAATTTCTGTCTGTCTGTCTGTCTGTCTGTCTGTCTGTCTATCTGTCATTCTCTTGGTAACGCTAAAATACGCACTTTATTACAACTACTCCTCAATAACTATAGCACTGTCCCGCCTGAAACTTATTTTCCAAATACTATACATATATGAGATGGTTTTAGACGTATTTCATCGAATATGAGACAGTTAGATATTTAACAGTAAACCCTTGAAAATCAAGTTTTTGTCGATTTTTGACGTGGAATTTCTGGAAGCCCATGTTAACCTTATGAGAAATGAAATTATTGAATCTTAACAGCTGTTTCAATTAAACAAGTTGGTTCTGTTCTGTGATGTTCAATAGCATTAAAGTTACAAGGATTACCAACAGGGTGCAGCACTAGCACTATTATTTCTTTTACATTTATGACAACAGCTAATTTGCAACCTGGAGGCGAGTGAGCGTAGCGAACGAGCTAACCTGAAGGCAAGTGAGCGTAGCGAACGAGCTAACCTGAAGGAAAGTGAGCGCAGCGAACGAGCTCCAACATACAGGTGAGTGAGCGTAGCGAACGAACTTCAACCAGGACGTGATTGAGCCATGCAAACGAGATCAGATAGTAAAAATAAAAGTAAGCCTACCGTTATAGGATCGACCGGCAGACACAGAGGTAATTAAACCTTTTATTGATTGTCATACCGATCCGGAACAACAAAAAACAACATAAAATGAAGCTATGTATAATAGTTTGGCCAGCATATCTTAAAATATGCAAACCAACTGCTGTTCTTTATATAAGAAGGTTTCAACTGAATATTATAAGATCCCCGTGCGTAGAACGGGTACACAGCTAGTCCAAAACTAATACAACATAGATAATTTACACATTGACTGTTTACAATTAACAACATGTGTTCTTCTTCAGGCATTTGACAGTACTGGTTGTTTACATTTAAATGTCAAAGCAAATGTAATATTTAATTTCTGATAACAGCTGGAGTTTCAAAACAATGTTTGTTTCCCATGTTAATCTTATGGAGAAATACGAAACTTTAAAGGGCCCCAGGGCCTCACTCTCTAATTATTTACCTAAAAAGAAAGTTTCCTGCACAACTTCACGTTACGCTCTTTCCAATGACACCAAAAACATGTCAATCGGTTCAGTAGTTTCGGTGGAGTAATTGCCACAAAAATCCTGCTTGCGTATTAAATAAGTATAGATTTTGATTCGATTTGATTTAAAAGTAAGAAAAGTAACAACAATATTGACATCGATGTCCAAGGTTTGGATCAGAGAGCACAGAATCGAAAGCACGAATAGAAAGCACAGAAGAGAGCACATTTCTATTCTGTGCTCTCTGGTTTGGATTGATTTGTCTGAGTTTTGGCTAATTAATTGTTTTGATATTAGAGCAGTAAATTTTTAATGTATATTTATTACTCTGCCTTAAAGTAGTAAGTCTTTAGTTTTGGAATTAGTTTTGGACGTGGTAGACTGTGTGTAGTTATTATTATAGCCGACATAATCTCAGAAATGTCATTAATTGTGTAGTGTTATGCAGAAATCACATATAGTGCAGAACTAACATATAGTGCAGAACTAACATATAGTGCATATTAACCTAGAACTAATTATTTCAAAGACAAACTCTTCTGGAATGTGTTTGGGACACACTCCTTAACATTTCCTGAGAACTCCCAAAAATTCCCACTTCAGCAAAATCCGCCATCTTGGAAAATGGTGGCAAAACAAATCAAACTTGCAAGGTTTTACGGAAAATGCTATAACTTAAAATTTATTCTACTTGTAATAATCGTATGAAGCTGCTACACTAAAGAAAGCTTACTTCATTAAAATGTCATATTTATTAGTATTTCATAGTATAAATATATAATAATTGTAGATTAAATATCATTTTTGTCATTTAAAATTTGTCACGTTTATCCTTTTTTTA